CATGAAGCTTAGAGAACAGAAAACAAAAGTGCATTTTTAAAACATATATATATATATGTTTTAAATATATATTATTTATATAAATATATAATATATTTATATATTATAAATATATAATATATAAATATATAAATATATAAATATATATTAAATATACTGTCATACTATCAAATAAGGTCTGGGACAAATTTTCAACAGCAGCCATTTTTGTTGACTTCTGCTTAAGTAACTATGAAGCACACTAAGACCTTACCTTCCGTCTGTGGGTTCCACTCTCACACTATCATAAACCTGAAAGCTGATGCCGCTTTTCACTAGGGAATCCATAACTGTTTGTACAGGAGGGAGCTGGGAGAGGTTCTTGTCTGTCATCAAGCAAACCTTTTTAGCTCCCATATTCTGTAGATCCTACAATAAAAAATAATTCATAAGTTAGGTTTGAGTACAATAACCCTGTGCTAGATACTTTGGGAGGGTTTAGTGTGATCGTTAAGAACAAAGAATTCAATTACTGTCCATTAATGCTCGTGTTTACAAGACATAACAGTTAGAGGCTACAGATATCTCAAATACTTGCCATGCCCACTTCCTTTGTAACCCCTGCTCCATATCTAATATTTGAAACAGCCATCTGAAAAAAGAAAGAAGATTTAGGTGTATTACTGAAAGCCAGAATGACTCTTCATTGTTTAGAGAATAAATGATCTGCTCTTTAGCATGCTCCTCCAACTCTCTCACCTTCTGGCTTCCCTGCTTCTTTTTTTTTTTTTTTGAGACAGGGTTTCTCTGTGTAGCTTTGGAGCCTATCCTGGCACTCGCTCTGGAGACCAGGCTGGCCTCGAACTCACAGAGATCCTCCTGCCTCTGTCTCCCGACTGCTGGGATTAGAGGCGTGTGGCTTCGCTGCTTCTTTAAGCAAACCTCAGCCCCAGTCACATTGAAATTTTGTTATTTGTCTTTTCCCAAACACACAATAAATTCCCATATGTTCCTTCAGCTTCAAATGTCTGTCTTCCCTAACCTCCCCATCAAAACTAACTCTCAAATTTCTTGCTTTTCAACCTAAACGTCTGTTCTGCAGGGTTTTGCCCCTTCATTCATCCATGTAGCCTCCAACTCACCAACACCACTGAGGGTGCTCTGTTGAAGGCCTTCTGCTGGACTCTAACTAAAACAGAGACCCATGGGCTTCTGCGTTTGCATACAAAAGCAGAGCTTTCACACTAATGCACACAGGCCACTTTTCAATTAAACAAAACAATCATGGTTTGTTTGATTCACGATAAGTTCAGATTTCTTTTTAAAAATGGTTAAAGATGCTGGGTGTTGATAGTGCACTCCTTTAATCCCAGCACTCGGGAGGCAGAGGCAGACGGATCTCTGTGAGTTCAAGGCCAGCCAGAGCTACAGAGCTAGATCCAGGGCAGGCTCAAAGCAATACAGAGAAACCCTGCCTCAAAAAACAAAAACAAAAACAAAAACACAACAACAACAAAAACAAAACAAAACAAAAAAATGTTAATGACTCTTTATAATGCAGATTTAAGCAATCTGATAGGGTCACTTGTGTCTCTTCTCACTCTCAAATGAGCTAGAAACCACCACACATTTTTCAAGCGTCAGCAATCAGTTGTGGTTTGGGCTGTCAGAGGGCACCTAGTGATCTTCTAATTTATTACTCCTAAACCAGGAGGGACCGGGAGTTAAACAAACAATTAAAGTAATTATGTAATTAATATGGCAAATTGCATCAGAATAAGTTGTTCATTCACTCTTCTTCCAAAAGATGACTTCTTTTGTTAAATAAGGCCCAGGGCAAATTTTCAGAGACTCAATATTTAAGACATAGAATTTGGACAGTCTGTAGAACTGGGAGTTTGCCACATTTTAATAGCTATATAAAAGACAGCATTTTAAACATTATTCCTCTTTCCAAACTATATTCTACTATCTTCAAATGCACATTGCTGCACAGAGCCTGATCAGAATGAGACTGTAGAACACCAGTTAACAACAGATTTCAAATAAAATACTAACGCATCAGTGAATATTGTATTGTTTTTCAGGCCATCCATAAAAGAATGAATGAATTGATGAAATCTACCTCAAACGCATAATCTGTTGTTTTTCCAGAAGGTGAGAGTCCAGGGGCTGGAAGTGAAGAGAGTAGCATCAGAGCATGCATCATAAAATAAGCCTAAATAATTGTTCTTTTTTTGTTGTTGTTAATAAAATCCAGCAGTGAACATAAATATCTTCCTGAACTGTTTTTACCTTTTTAGCATTTCATGGTTGTACATAAAATGTAGATCAATATTTACAAAAAAGCAAAAAAACAACCAACTGACTTTTAAGATTTCTGTATAAAGCTAGTTGTAATATTGGGGCAATAGGGGGCCATCAATGAATTTTATATTTTAAGAAGTCATTATTATTGTGTGTGCATGATGACTGTGTGTGTGCCACATCTTTGTGGTGTTGACCCATGTTCATGCAAATTCTGGGGTTCTAACTCAAGTCAAATATTCTCACCTGCTGAGCCATCTCCCTGGCTTTCCTTTTAATCTACTTATCTATAATCAGTTCTGGTCAGCCATAAGATAAAGGAAAGTCAACAGAATAATTTGTACTACCCATTTTTTTTTTCTGTTAAAGAAAAAGACACCAGAACTGGACAACACCACCACTGCATTGTTCCCTGAGGACAAAGGCACCATCTTATCAAAATCTAAACTTCTGTGATTACTCTAGTGTTGCTGCTTCTGCTGCTAAAGTTTATGTCAAACAGTAAGTTGGAAGCCTCTCTCTAAGCCATTCCCAAGCAGAAAAAAAAAAGCCAAAAAAGATTAGCACAACAATTGAACACACAAAATTGTGCCCGTTTTCCCAAGGGCCTTAAAGGCTGGTTCCACTTCATGGCTGTTGGTTAGAGGCCCTACCTGCCTGGAGGGGGAACCTCTTACAAAGCAGAAAAAGGTCTTAGTCAGTGACCTCCCTTTTACTCCTCACCAGGCCTGCTGTGTGCTCTGCTTAGGAGCAAGCTTGGGGTGACCTCTCTTTCCTTGCCTCTGTTTATAGCTTACCTCCTTCTAGGAAGAAAATACATAATTCATGTGACACCCTGGGGACAGTTGGGAGCTACAGTCAACTTTATGGACCAAAGAGTCTCACAAGGATTAAGGTGGTGGCAGCTGAAAACTTTTGTTACTACTTTTAATTATTAGGAAATGGATTATTTTAAAAATGGATGTGGATAAAATTTTCCTTCTAGCAATCACTTTACTTTAGCTTTTAGAGTTGTCTTTTAACCCAAAGCCTTGTTCCTGAAGAACCTAAACATTCTTAAAATGTCCTAAGTGTGTTTTCAGTTTTGAAAAATATTTCAAATAATTTAAATTGAAAGCATAAATAGCATGAAATATATGCGCTCTGTTAACCTGGCACACTTGGAGCTATGCATTACCAGTTTGACGGTGAGACACACGATGTTTTTTCATCAGCTTACCCACCATGCAAGCCTTGATTCCCCTTTTCCACACCTGACCCTAATGCATCGCACATGCCAGTGGATGGAAAGCAAAATGCATTACCTTGGGAGTAAGTATGAGAATGTGTTGGGCACTGGCATCTAGGGAAAAGAAAAAAGGAAAATATAAACAGGAAAACAAAAAGCAAGAAGCCTTAAAGTAACTCTTACACTACATTCTAATCCTGGGACTAAATGGGGTCACAGCTGGCAGAGTAAAGAACAGAAAGCAACAAAAACTCCAAACTCAAGATAACACCGAAGACAAAAGCCAACACGGAGGCAATCCTTTTCATGAGGGTATTTATTGAGGCGATACCTAGGCAAGGCCTGCAGGCAGTTCTGAGGGCACACGGGATGGGACGAAGGCTCCAGCCCTCACAGGTCAGGGGCTTTGACTGAACCATGTGGCTCTTCTCACTCAGCTCTCATCCCTGGGAACTTTCTATGTAATTCTCTCACCTCTTGAGGGTATTTAGTTTATCTTCAAAGTCAGCCCACTGGCTTCCCGGGTCAGCTACTCATATCCTGAATGCCCTGGCTCTGTGAGCCGGTCCTGTCTCTACAGCACACACACACCTAGCCACCTAGCACATTTTCCTTCCTGAAGCCCTTCACCCATGCACTTGCCACGTTCTCTTTTCTGGAGACTTCCTCCCCTGCCACATCCGCTATTTCTTGGATAGTCCCTCCTTCTGGCTTCAGTTTCTCCTATTCAATTTGTTTCGTTATGGCTCACAGGACCTTGCCATAGCGGAGTGTCCCAGGGATTCCATAGCCTCCTCCCCACCGCGCCAAAATTCAAATCTGGAATTGGAACACCCAAGGAGGGAAAAGGTAAAGGGAGGAAAAGGGTGGTTTTACCCCAGTGAGTTTCAGAATCTCAGAACTTCCTGAGGTCAAGACAAAATACAAATCAAGGCTGCCACCTAGTGGCCACAGGCTTCCTGCAGGAACAGGAAGGGAGGTCAAGCCCAGGCCCAGCTGTCAGCTAGCTTTCTTTACAGAACCTGCCCCGAATTAAACCTTCTAAGGACAAGAGAAGCAAAGGAAAGAAAGACATCCGAAATAATTCCGGGGACATGGCTGCCCTTCCCACTATTTGTGTTATTTTACATTCTAAGACTATTTAATTCACTTGCAACCCTTAGCTTGGGTTCCTGCTTTGTCCTCTCGCCTTCTGAGGGCGCTCATCTGTGTTGATTTCCTCAGCAACCTCCTTCTGTCCTGTCCTGTCCCCCAGCCTACACTTTCAAGCTGTTTCCTTACTCCAGCATTCACCTTGGTCTCTGAAATCAAGTCACAGCTTCCAGGTGAATCCTTACTTCGTTACTGAGCCTTTTGAATAGGAGCCTGAGCTCTGGCAGCCTTAAGTAGGCTCAATCACTTATCCCCAATAGGCCAATAAGGAGTCAACAAAGTCAAAAGCAGAGAGATTTATCCCAGTGGTTGAACTGGGAAGGGGTCTCCAATGACTCCTTTCGCCCCCAATCCATCACCAGGGGTCCTGATAATAAGTTATAGGTTTAAATGGAGGCGTACAGCTCTTCAAGAGGATCCAGTGGGCAGGTAGCACTTTCTTTGGGTTCCAAGGTTCCCTGGGGACCTGGACTGTCACTTCTCCTCCTTCCTCACTCTGCCCACCCCTTACACATTGTTTGCTCGGGGCTGCCTTCAGCCTTCTGACCCTTCTTTCTCCTGTAAGCTTTATAGTCTCACATGCCAAGGCCCCAGAAATGTCTCCACTTAATGCCCAGTCTTTGCCAGGGTGTGCTTCCACTGTCATTTCTCATTCAGATGTTCCCTAGTTTCCAAATTGCCTTCTCAGCTGCACCTTTGCTAGCTCTATTCCCCAGTGGGGTGGGGGTGGGGGTGGGGTTGGGGTTCCCAGTGACCCTTCCCCTTCTAAGCTGCTTCCATGACAAATGAAGTGCAGACCCAGCCCTGCCCTCTTGGCTCTTCTTGCTCCAGTTTTGGGTTTTAGTCCTGCAACAATAACCATCTCCCCTTTCTCTCCTCACTTCCCTCCCTCCCACATCAGGAACTTTGCCCTAATTCTTTCCCTACTTGGAATCCACCTTCCTTTTTTTTCCTGTCCCTGTTCTTCTAGATAAGTGTGTTCTTTTCTATCAGTTCTGGGGTAGTCTTTGGAGGCCCCAGGGAGGAACCCTTTTTTTTGTGACCTGAGCTTCCTGACTAAGACTGCTTCCAGGGGGTGGACAGATGATGGCTCAGTGCTTCAGAGCACTGGCTGCTCTTTCAGTGGACTTGGGTTTGATTCCCAGAACCCACAAAGCGGCTCACAACCCTCTGAAACGTCAGTTCTAGGGAATCAAATGCCCTTTTTTATCCTTTCCAGGCACAGAGGTGATAACACAGACATACAAACAGGCAGGCATATACGTAACACAAACTGCTTCAAAACTCACTCCACACTTGCCTTTCTACTCCAGTTCCCACGGGCAGAGTGTGCTGACTAACTGTACTCACCCCAGGTTCTCTTCCCATGTGGTTGTCCCAAAACAGTTCTGGGTGACACTGGTTCTAAGGGCTACGGTGGATTTTTGTTTGAGTATGAACATACAAGTTTAAGACAGAAGAATGTACTTATTTATCCCTTTTGCAGGACGACTAAAAGCACTTTACATACCAACACAGACATCAATAGAGTAAGCAGCTCCCCACATTTACTTGGCCATAGAATTTTCTTATCGACAGGCACCAATTCGGCTTTAGTAGATTTCTGTTATTCATAGAATGCAACTTACCATTAATTTTATTGTAGGCTGGGGAACAAGGATTGCAAAGCCAAAGTTCAACCCATGGCTGTGCCACTGTTTAGCTATGTGATATTGAACGCGTTATTTTCATGTTTTGTTTATGCTAGAGGATAACAATCGGTATGCCAGAGTTACCATAAAGATTATTTACTGCTACCAATAGTTCATGTACAGTTGATGCCACTTAGTATGCAACAGCTGTTTTCCTACTCATGTCTCAGTTCTTACTGCCTTCTAAGGCCGGCCCAGACTCTATACCTTTGGTTCCTGGAACTACAACTCTTCCTTTCTGGTGGGTCTTCCCTCTGCCAGAATTCCCCTCCAGTCCCTGTCCTTTCCCTATCTCCACTCATCAGCTCCCAAGCTGACTCTGGCGCATACACATTCACATGCTCTCAGCCTTTCTGGAAGGAATCAGGTCAGGGAGGGTAACTACAACTCATCTACTGGGATAAGCAACAGATGTGTCCCCTTACTAGTTCCTTAAGTAGCCTGTGCTTTCCAGCCTTCCATTATTGTATTCTTAGAAAAGAGCAGTTTCTGCACACAGACCCAGTATACATGTGTTGCTTTGATGTTAACTGTCTTAGGGTCAATGCCAAGTTCTACACTGCCTGTCACACTGTGTGGGACCAGGTGGGCTTCTCTGGGAACATTTTCTTAATGCAAGCTATACCACATTGCACCATCTGGTCCTCCCATGGTTTCAGGCCCTGCACAACCCAACTGTGGTACCGATTTCCTGAATTCCCCAAGTATTTGGGGTCTGATTGCTTGCCTGGATAGGTGCACTCAGGGGTTGCCAAACACTGGCATGCTTGGTGCAGCCTGTACTCACGCTGTGCTTTGCAGGTGCCTCAGCAAGTGTGCAATCCGAGAGCGTGCAGCCGCGGCCATGGCAGTTCTCCTTGTCCTCCGGCTGCTCCGCCCCCACTGTCAGCCAATCCTGGCGGATGGACACCAAGAGAAAAATATTTGCCTCCAACTCGATCTGCAAGGTCACCTGATCCAACTTTTGCCCATTTTCCAGGAGTCAGAAACAGGACAACTACCCCAGCTGCCAACTCTGAAAATGCAATGGCAAGAACTCCACAGGGCCTTGTGTAGACTTTAAAACCAGAGCTGTGTTTCACAAGAAAACAAAACACCCCACCAATCAAAACACCCAAAGCAAGTCTTTGAAAATTAAGTTCTCTTTGAACCGTCTTGATTTTGATAACGTTCTCAAGATGCCTTAGCCTCATGGATACTTAAAACTATAACCTGGCAGGGCCCAGCAGTGCCTCATCTGCCAAGCCCCAGTGGAAGAGTTCACTAAAGATGGTAAAATTAGTGAACTTCATTAGAACATTATCCAAAGCCAAACAATCGAGTATTCTCATTATTATGAAACAACCTGAGCTTTCCTGGCAATTTCTGAAAGCAACCTTGTAAGTATGAAACACTAGAAATGCATCCTACAGCCCAGCTCCAAATCCCCAAACTGCTATCAACTGACAGATCCAAGAGCAGGGTGGCCACCCGCTTTCCAGAAAACATCCTCCCTCAATTGTGGATTTGCTGTTTAGGTATTTTAGGTATTTCTGCAAAGTAAGTTTAAGATCAAAATAAGACACTGGTAAGGGAAAAACACCCTTTCCATGCGATAAGCATGAAATCTCCTGCTGGTGTGGCAGCTCATTTATAATCTCAGCACTTGGGAGATGAGACACAAGGCTCAAGTTCCAGGTCAGCACAGGCTAAAAACTGAAAACCCAAGCCAATTAAACAAAAAACACTGGTTATAAACAACATGACCAGTATCTGAAGTAACAAGGTTAATTACCATTTGGTGTAGTTCCAATTTACCATTTAAAGCAGAGTGTTCATTTGGCAAAGCACACCACCTTAAACATCACTTGTACTATGCTTTTAATAAAAGCACAGTTAACACCAAAAGAACTTTTGAATTTTCTTAATACTACTAACCTTCCAGTAACCATTGTTTAACTACTTTGAGTATTCTCAAGAACACTCTATACTGACAATAAAAGTTAAAAGCAACACCAGGTGCTGGCATACTTTTTATTAAGTAACCTTTACAATACTTGTAAGACACAGATAGACTTGGTTTTCTCCATCCTCCCTGCTTTGATAAGTTTACAAGCTTTGTTATAAAACAATGCAAAAATACTGAAACCAATCTACTATACCCCGGAAATCTGATCCAAAGTCAAGATAAAAAAAAGCAAGTTGCTAACTTACTCCTGGTTCTGACCATATCATTTCTCTAATTGTCATGTTCTCAAAATTTGCCCTTAATTTCCAGCCAATGTCTCCATTGTAGGAAAAGTATTAATTCATAGTCCATCACTGACTGTCCTGAAGGGAGGCAAAACCGTCCTTTCAATTTCAACGACGGCAGCGGCCTGCACTGTGCACAACTTAACCCTTAGTACAGACAGTCCTTGATATGTAGAACAGGTCCAGTGGGAAGAAAACTACTTCCTCCTCTTCCCACCTTGGTGTGACACTCCTTTCTTCTTCCCACTTAAACCAGAAGGCCTGGAATGCTTCTGGCCTCCAAAGCCGCCTTTCCTCTTCTCTCCCTGGCCCGGCGGTCCGCCTTTTCTCTTGCTCCCAGGTCCTTGCCGGCCCCCCTTCCTCCTGCCCTTCTGGCCCATTTTCCTCCTCTTGGCAGCTTCTTCTTGGTCCTCCTCCCTCATCTGCTTGTTCGTGGCCCTCGTCACGTCCAGCTGAGGCTTCTTACTGTTCATGACTCGAAGTAGGTCCAACTGGTTCTTTTTCTCAGCTGCAAAGTCCCCAAAGAGGGGCTGGAATTTCCTCTTCTTGCCGGTGCCCCGGGGCGCCTTCTCCTTGGGCAGGCTCTCCTGGAAGCGCCCCACCGAAGCGGTGGAGACCTTGGCTACGTGCATGGCGCGGCCCAGCTCCTCCTTACTCTGGTGTCCCGTAGGGTGCAGGCCGGCCGAGCTGGGCATCTGGACCTTGTGCGCTCGGGCCAGGTTCCGTAGCCGGTTCAGCTCGTTCTTAGCCACGCGTTCCTTCTTGGCCTGAACCCGCTTGGCGAACTGGTCTTCCATGGGGTCGGCG